TGAATAAAAAGGGTGCAGAAAGAATAAAAAAAATTCTTATATTCATTCAACCTTTATTTATACAGGCACAGGTTAATCCCACTGAGCCTCGGGGACTCATTTAAAAGAGACCTGATTTTAACAAAGAGTATACAATATCTGCCCCTTATTAAAAGAAAGAAAGAAAAATATAAACAAACAACAATTTAGGATTGAACATCTCCAAAGTGAAAACAAAAAATATTAGATATCCTTCACATGGTATCACACTTTCCCAACAATTTTAACTTAATCATCTTTTTAAACATGTAAATTGTTTTAGAATTTTTATGGTGATGTCTAGGAAATTCCACAATCGTAATCCCTGAATTACAACACGCAGCACTCCTTCAGACTAATAGAGGTTTTACAAATATTTCCAATCTCTTAAGGGTATAATGACTCTCTTTTTTAAAATAAATTTTAATTAAATATTTGGGGGTAATATTTTTATGAGCTTTATACATGACTTGTAAAATACTATATTCAACCAAATCATAAAATTTAAAAAATTTCAATTGATGAAATAATATATTTGTTGGACGACCATAGCACTAATTCTTATAGCTCGTTTTTGTAAAATAAAAATAGGATTTGTAATTGTTTTGCATGCTTTTCCTCAAACTTCAATACAATAGATTAAATATGGAACAATCATTACATGATTATACAATATAAGCTTTGTCATTCAAAAACTTTTACTTTATAAAGTAATGCAATTGATTTTGCAATTGTTATTCTTAAGTAATTTACATGAGATTTCAATGACTGTTAACCTATGCTATGTCTAGCTTTTTAAAATCTTTATTTAAGCAAGTATACAACAAATGAATGAAGTATACAGAAGAACACAGCACTTACATGAACAAACAACCAGGGGTAAGAATTACAGGAGCAAGTTTATTATAAAAAAAAATTAGCATCCTTTCTGGGGAATCTAGAAAAACCAAATAAAACATTTTCCCAACGTAAGGAAAAAATCCCTTAAAATATGGTTATTAATAAATCTACTAAACTCCTTCCATAACCTGCGTGTGAAAGGGCAGTGCCAAAAAAAATGTGTCACAGTTTCTGGAAGGCCACCATAAACACTGCAATCAATATTTATGTCTCTTTTAAATGTTACCATATAATGCTTAGCGGGGTAAATTTTATGAATAATTTTAAATGACATTTCCTTCTCCTTATTTACAATTAAATATTTATGTGTGTGTGTGTGTGTGTGTGGGGGGGGGGGGGGGGGTCATCATCCAGACTGTCTTCCAGTTGATATCTGGGATATAACGGCTCCAATAAGATGTTACATATGGACGAGAAACGATGCCTTCTTGGAACAACCTGCGTGTTCTCTTGTTGTTGTTACCACGCTGCTGTGAAAAGCAGGTTTTCCACTGATGACTCAGCTGGACCAGGGACAGGAACTGGCGTAGACAGAGAACTGTTAGTGTTTTTAAACAGTATTAATGTGCCTGAGGGTGTAGCGCTAACCACCATTGAGAATTCTTGGAGACTAACTGGGAAATTATATAATGAGCAGAATTCACTGTAGGTGAGAAGTCGTCCATTCTTATTAAGCAGCTGAGCCACCATGGATCCCATTATGCACCCAAGTCTCAAGGAAGAGCGACCTGTTTTTAAGTAAAATATCTCTGTTGTTCCAGATGAGGTATTTGTGTGGTGAGAAGTCGTGTTTATAAATGAGGGTCCAAGCTAAGAGCACCTGCATATGGAAGGATGAAAGTTTTACAGGAAGTTTCTCAACATTGTAATTACAATTTAAAATTAAATTAAACCCACCAAAGCGCAAGAAAACATGATATGGTATAAGGTTCCAGATAGAAGTCGGATTCTTAATAAAGTGTAGCCCAGTTCATTTTAAATGTGTTATTTAGGGTGGAGAAATCCAGAAAATTAAGACCTGATTCATACTTATTCATAACAGCAGTTTTTCTAATATAGTGTGTACGGTTTTTCCATATAAAATTAAAAAGCATACGGTCAATATCTTTACTAATTTTATTATCTGAATGTAAGGAGAGAGCAGCGTGTGTCAATCGAGATAATCCTTCAGCTTTAGTGAGCAGCACTACCTTGTAGAGATAAGTCCCTCTGCAGCCACTGGTTTAGTTTAGTTTTGGTTTTTTGTATAATCGGTGTAAAATTATCAGAGCATCTTAACTTTTGGTCTTTAGAGATTAAAAGTCCTAAATAAGTGACTTCTTGTTTAACAGGAATATTACAAAGTCAAAGCTGACTCCAAGTCACTTCTTTGAGCTGTCAGACCGACCAGGACTGTGCCAGTCCACCCTGAGTTGAACAGGCCAACATTAAAGAGCTATTTGCAGCAACAGCTGGTTTTCCTAACGTAATCAGAGCTATCAACTGCACACACACTGCTATAAAGGCACCGGCATAAGATGAATACTGTAGATTTATGTTAACGGAAAGCATTTTCATTCAAAGTGCAAATCATGTGATGTGCAAAAGCAACTAACCAACATTGTGGTGGTGGCGTGGTTCAACCCACGATTCATTCATTGTAATGAAAAGCATGGTTGGTGCATGATGAGGGGCTTCTTGGTGACTAAGTTCATGTAATCATCTTAATACTGTATGTCTCACCATTTTGTCTTAATTTCTGCAGTTGTGCACTGCTCTGACCCCACAGCATTTACAGCTTTGCACTCACTCTTGCACTTGGCACTAATGCCAGAGGACAGCGTGCCAAACAGAATGCTATTAACGTGCCTCGATATCATTTAGAAGCGTCTCCAACTCACCTTTTGTGAAGTTCTTGTGTGTAGACATGCTTTTCAATAGTGCAGAGGAGATTCCTCAGGTGTAGAACATTTGCATATTTAAATAGAGGCATGTCATGTGTTCCCTCGTGCAGTCCATTCCACACTGATTGGGATGTACAAAGGAAGTGTGCTTGGATCCCTGCGTATACACCATTTCATGCATCTGGATTTATTTGTGCGTACACCATGTTTCAGTTATGACTTTGTACATCAGTTCCCCCCTCCCCCATGTCAAGCAGGGCCAGATTAACACTTCGCTGTACCCTGGGCAACAATCTTCAAGGGCCCCATCATCACGACCCCAGAATCACCATAATCTGGCAAAGTACAGCATAAATTACCATAATATACAGTAAATATACTTAAAATTCTAACTATCAAGTGTATTTTTATGAATAAAACTCCAAATGCTCATTGACACAAATCATCAAGACTGAATGAAGACTCTGGAACGAGTTACCTCTGCTTGTCAGACAGGCCCCCTCCCTCTTGGTTTTCAAGTCCCGTTTAAAAACCCACTACTATTCGGTAGCATTCAACACCAGATGATGTGTCTTGATCCTGTATGCTCCACACTGGTTTGTCGTTATTATCTGCATCGTTTTTATGTCTATATTCTGATTTACTTCATTTTGTATATTGCTTTGTGTGTTACCTGTTGTTCTGTCTGTACAGCACTTTGGTTGGCCTTGCAGCTGTTTTAAGTGCTCTATAAATAAAATGGTATGGTAATTAAGTTGAACGCACTTTGAACACCACATGACACCATGTGTACTTATTTAGTAAGTGTTGACCACTGGTGTCAGAAGCATTTATAATTTGTGTGTGTGCGGGGGGGTCCTCCCCCAGAAATTTTTGAATAAAGTAGATGCTATTTCCTGCATTCTGGTGTATTTTATTGGTTGTTTAACATCTAGTTTTACCTACATAAGTAAACACTTGGAACGCCTTGGGATTCCCTTGGAGGAGCTGGTCCAAGTGGCTGGGGAGAGGGAAGTCTGGGCCTCCATACTTGGGTGCTACCCCCACGGATGGATGGAAGTAAACACTTGATTCAATAACTATTGTAGAGTTAATGGCACAAATAGTAACCTGACCAACAGCTGATTCAGTTTATTCAAATGTGACAATTTGATGTACAAATTAAAAATGAAACGTCCAACTTTGACTTCAAATGAAATGTTTGCGACAGGATTTACAGAGTATAAAAGATTCCTTCAAGAAACCTCCCAATATAAATCAAAAACAGGATGTCCGCTTTTTTTAAATTTGTCAAATGGCCTTAATCACCTTAAATGAAGGAGAATCACTTTCTCTGATACCATAGTCGTACTTTTAGCAAAGTACCACATTCACTGTAGTAAGAGGGATAAACCTTCCTTCCCGTTTAGACGATTTTAAGTCATACTTTAAGTAGATTAAAAATTTGCAAAACTGCTAAAATCATTTAAAATTTACACAAATGTTTCTCAAGGGGAAAAAAAAAAAAACAAAAAAAAAACACGTAAGGGGTGTTTTACCTTCGGAACAAATTGCCGACCTGCCTTTTGGACAGGTCGTGCAGTCAAAGATCAGAACACTGCAGCAGCTGCGCTGGGAGGAGGCAGTGCTGCCCAAATGCAGTAGTTAGTGCAGCAGGGCTACAAGTCAAACAGGAAATATTTTGCTTGTGCCCCCATTGCCCTGGGCAGTTGCCCATATGGTTTATCCGGCCTTGGATTTTACCTCGTCAGGTTTATGGCAGAGTTTAGAGTTCAATTCCACCAGTAGTCATATGCCAATTGTCCCTGATCAAGACACTGAAACCCGCATTGCCTGGTGTGCCTGTGTATGAATGTGAACCGATTAGCGTAGAGTGTTCTGCATGAAATGGGGTAGGGCATAGATTGTATATCAAGTGCATTTACAGTACTGGTGCCATTGGCAGTGCATGGAGTAAAGTCAGATTTTGATTAGTGGAATGGCCATTTTTTTTAGTTCACGTTTGTAATTTTCTTACCTTGTATGGAAACCTGAAGTTAAGGTCACCTTCATTTTTAACACTGGTCATGGGATTCAGTGCTCAGAACAAAGTATTAAAAAAAATAAAAAGCCAGCATTAGTCACTCTGGAGACTAGCTTTACACAAGACATTTGTCAGGCCAAAGAGTTTCCACACTTTGTAATAAGTAGCTCAAGAAATTTACAAGTTTCATCAATTTATTTCAAGACAGACATTGGCAACATTTATAAGTTGATAAAACTTCAAGTTTAGAGCAATCTGCAAGTCATCATCATTTCCACTTAACCCCTCAGGAGGACAAGTCTGTGATGGTGAGGGGTCCAAGGACAGCCTTTCGCACCAAGCCAGCTTCCCCTGTGTAGGAGAGAACACGTCAAGTTGACCATTGTGTAGTTTAGTTTGAGAAACAGCTGTGCCATGTCATACCAGAGTCCAAGCTTCTTGCTTTTCTGGCCTTGCAGGTGGAGTCACAGCAGTCGCACAGTCCACTATATACAGGATTGTCCAGCAACTCCCATCTGAGGACAGAGACCAGGCCATGATTTGAAATGGGATTCAGTTTGACTTCACCTTGTTGTTGTTGCAGAAGAACATTACCCATGATCCTTCACATAATGGCAGGCCTTCTTGGTGTTGTCAAGATTAATAGGATCCCAGGCCAAAAGGCTGCAATGGATGTAAACCTGGAAGAGACATTCCTTTTATTCCAGTTGACATCCATTTTAAGAAGATAGCTTTAAAATCCACATTACCTCCTGTCCCAAAGCAAATCTAAATGCTTGGAGTAGGAGCTTGAGCTCTGAAGTTTTATCCCTGGTTTCAAACTTGGACCGTGAAGTCTTGCTATCCACCAAGCATCTGAAAGAGGAAAGTTAATGCAAAGCCAAAAGTACCACTTGTGCCAAGACATCTACAGCAAGTCTACCCTTTATTGGTGACGATGGGGAACAAGTCAGAGCCAGGCTGCAGGTCTGAGGTGGTGGTAGCGACACATTCCTCAAGCAGCAGCAGCAAGGGCTGATGGTTCTCCTGCGCCACACTCGCCAGGATAGGGATCATTGAGCCCAGAGGAAAGTTAGTAGACTCAGCAGGGCCTGAGAAGTCATCTACAAGCACAAAAAACTTGAGTTGTTCTAGTCATAGAGTGCAATGCTCAATATAAACATTGAAAACCCTACCATTCATAAGGCTCAGGTGGAAAACCAAGTCCTCCACTCCATAAGTAGAAAATATTGGGTCATAGATCATTGGGAACCAGTCTTTGGGCCTGAATGAGAAGCAGTTGGGATTTAGTTGTCCAAATTACACTTAAGAGCTTCGATTTGAAATCAGTCACCTTTCATACGAGCAGACAACTGGAAGAGTAAAGGGAGGCACGTAAGAGTCAGGAGAGGAGGTGTAGATCAGGTCATTGGTGTATTTCAGCTTATCCCCAGTAACCTAGAGAAAAACATGGTTAACACAACATTTACACCACAAGGTCTTACAGTTAAGGTATCTTACTAACCAGTCTCCCAAAGCTGCAGTCACTGAAATCCACACTGAAGACAACCTCCCTCTTTGAGACACTGGTGGGGAAGCAGCTACCAAGACGGAAGAGCGACAGATCAGTCTGAGACTTGCCATCCATCCAGACAAGGGTCATGTGGTCAGGCTTGCAGTCCAGCTGCATGTCTGGAAGACAAAAACAACTTTAAATGCAATTTTCGCTCAAATTACACTAAACAGATTATCAAGAACTGCACTTTGATAAACCTTACCTGCAGAAAGGAGACCGACCAGGCAAGAAAGCAGCACACAATGCCAGAAGAGAGCCATCATGACTGAATATCCTTCACTGCAGCTCCAGGTGCTTTTATTCTCTCTAACAGGTGCCTGTCAATCAAGGAAACTGCTTCCAGGTGTCAGCCGCAGTCTCAGGTGCAGCAGCAATCAGTGGAGCTACAGCAAGCTCATTTTGATGTCAAGAATTAGGTCTGTGACTTTACAGGTTAGAGGGATGTTGGGGAAAAAAGGGCAAAATATATTTGAAGGTATTTTGATGAATAAAATGTATAAAACTGAGGTAATTAGAAATCCTTCAAAATAAAGGCCTAATAGTCCTTGAAGGAAGGCAAAACACCCGCTGCCTTTCTTGAAGCACTTGGAGTATCTTGATTAGATAGAAAGACTCTACATAAGTAGTCCATTTACCATTTACTTGAGTTTCAATACGATCATGTTCTGTTGAAGTGACAGAGTTCTGCACAATCGCACACTCAGAGTTTATGTTGTGAATGACTCTCAGCTACTACCACATCAAACGTAAACTTTAAATTTGTAGACTTGTCTGGATAAAGCCACTTTTTATGTTTTTTAAGATCAATTGCCTGTGGAAACCATCTTGAATCAGGCTGACTCCAAACATTAATCAGTTGTAGGTGTACATTCACTGGTTTAAGAGATCATTCGCAAAGAATTGTGTGCTCGACGTGGAGAAAATTATTATTACCTGCCCCCAAAAGACAATGAATATGTGCCATTGTTTCTGCCACCATGCTGCAGGTAGTAAACATAGGTGAAGATGCAGATAGGAATATTATCACAAAGAGCTTTGGGAGAAAGTTACAGAATCATGGGAGAATAATTTCAGTTCAGTTTATTTCTACAGCTTCAAGTCACAGCAGAAGTCGTCTCAGGGCACTGAACAAAAACATTCACATGCATTATTATAAAGACGATTAGTAAAAGTTATTTATCTAAAGAAGCCAGCAGATTGTGTTGAATCTTCACTTCGTCACCGTCTCCCTTCCAGAGCAAGCACAAAGGAGACAGTGGAAAGAAAAAAAACTCGCTTTAACAAGAATAAACCTCCAGCAGAACCAGGCTCAGGGCGAGCGGCCATCTGCTTCGACCGGTGGAGTTTGAGAAGACGGGCAGGAGAAACAAACACAGAATGGCAGGTCCAGATGTACTTGCTAAGAGGAAAGAGTAAAAACACATGTTAAGATAGAAATAATTACAAATACAAACAGGTAGAGTAGAGCAGGTAAAAACAGCAGCAGAGTGAGGAAATGTGGTCAATTTGTCCTCCAGCAGTGTACGCCTATCCATCCTGGTGCCTCACCTGTAGAAATGAATATGCGAGAAACGTCTGGTCTGACACAGGAAGTAGCGGTAAAATAGTGTTGGTGCATGGAGAGCAGAGTTAGATCAGCAGAGAAAATGCTGGGATTTTTTGGTTAACATTTATTTAACTAATGTAACATTTATGAAAATGTCCAACTGGAGTTCCGGTACCTGTTGTGTTGTTCGCGGCTGCAGAACAACCAGACCAAACTAAATCAGTGGCTACAACAGCACAGTTTTGTACACGGACCTAAAACAAAAAAAGTGTTCTTGTGAAAAGAGCTATAGTTTCCATTTCCTACCTACAGATGAGGAATTAAGAAGAATGTGGCTGAAAAATGTGATCTACAAGAGACCACCCAAACTCTGTCTGTGAGCTCAGTTTACTTTGATGACAAACGGTCGATGGAGGAAAACCTGCATCCTACTTTGTGTCTGGACTACAATAAACCACTGGAGAAGAGACGTTGGATCCTCAGAAGGATCGAAAACAGTGACAAGAACATCAGGGATGATTTCAAGTGTATGGAGGACACAACATTATCGTATTTGTTCATCTTCAGTATTATGATTTTCTCTGCAATTAACATACATGTGTTTATGGCACTCACTGCAGGGCAGCAGACAACTAAAAATATTCTAGTTTCACAACACAGAAGTGTTTATGAATAATCCCTGAGGCATGTAAAAAAATCTTACCATCAGTTTCTATATGTAGCTTTGATAATGTACCGTTTTCCCAAATTTTCTAAAGAGCTTAGATGTTACATGCAAGAGATGGGGGGCTGTGGGTCCTCCCCATGTAAATTTGAATGGAGGATAAATGTTATAATGAAATGGTAAAACCCTAATGTAGCTTACATTAATAATTATTTATATGTGTCATTGCTACCTTCAGGTGAGCCTCAGGCGGAGAAGAATGAGGAGTTGTGCTCAACGTCAACGTCGTCCTGTGATGCTCAAACTCAGTGGTCAGATCCAGGGATGGAGGAACACCACTATTCTAAAAGGTCCACCATCACATGTGTAATGGAACTTGTATCCTGCTCACAACAGTTTGCTGCTGTTTCATTGTCTGTCTGTTGTAGACCAAGTCCTGATGACTTTGATGAAACTAAGACAGAACTGTGTCCTGGCTGATTGAACACAGCTGTTTAAAACATCACAATGTCAAAAAGTGAAAACTGAAAAAAAAGATATTTATTATTTAACACTTTAACAAACTTACACATCACATTCATTGATTGTTTTGTGAAAACAACTGAGGTACAACTGAACAACCTAAAGTATAAACCTGTAAACTGCTGAATTTTTTTTACAGCTGCAACATTTAATTTGTTATTAAAAGAATAACACGCTAAGCAAAACCTAAACAAAAATGTTATTTGCAAATAAAAGTTTTTATTGTTGTCCATATATTTTACTGCAAAATACAGATTAAATTACCATAAGTAATTATACTTCAAATACTAACTATCAAGTGTATTTTGATGTACAAATATCCAAATGCTCATAGAACTGTAAATGCTATTTACTGTGTCCTCTTGTGAAAACAATCACAAAGACTGAGTTAAGTTGAGCACACTTTGAACACCATATGTGTACTTGGTTAGCAATGTGTTGGCCATTGGCGTCAGAAGCATTTGGGGGGAGGAACACACTGATGGTGGGTGGGGGTGGGGGTTGGTGTGGTGGTCCTCCCCCAGAAAATTTGAATAAATCAGATGCTATTTCCTGCATTCTGGTGTATTTTAACCATTGTTTAACATTTAGTTTTACCTACATAAGTAAACACTTGATTTATTAACTATATTAGAGTTAATGGCACAACAAGAAGTAGCCTGACCAACAGCTCTCCTTGTGTGAATAGAGCACGCTCCACTTCTCTCATGCATCCTAGCCACAGTCTGAGAAACATTGTGTAGCCTAAGTTAAGTTTTAGGGGGAAAAATCACTAGCCAATAAGAAACAATAATAATAATCACTCCTTCTCACTAATGATAATAATAATTTAATCATAAAACCATAATAATTTCTGCTCATTCTAAATTTGTCAAATGGCCTAAATGTCCTAAAGTGAAGGAAAATCATTTAAAAAATAATAAATAAACTTTAGCCATGTTTCTTGAAAAAAGATTTAAATTTTTTGTTGATTTGTGTGCCTGTTGTAAATCAGGAGATGAATCCCTCGAGCATTTTTATTTTTTTCATGTCAATACATGGGGGAGTGGTGGCGCAGAGGTTAGAGAGGTGGGCCTGTGATCCGAAGATCGCCGGTTCACGCCCCGGCCCCGACAACATCAAAATTGTGGGTGGGGTGGGTGAAACACCCACACTTGCCCCCACCCTCATTCGCCCCACTCTGGGCCCATGAGCAAGGCCCTTAACCCCCACCATGTGCTCCCTAAACAGGTCCCTCTTGAAAATGAGTTCTCGTGGCTCAATGAGACTAACCTGGATAAATAAAGGCTAAATGAAAAAAAAAGAAAAAAAAAAAAAATACAGAGTATTTGGTCAGACATCAGAAACTGGATTAATCTCAAATTCAACATTCCTTCATTTGATGCTGATGTCATTTTACTTCATGTGGATAACTTAAGCATAGTTTTCTCTGGTGCCATAAATATAGTCGTACTTATAACAAAGTACCAGATTCTGTAGTAAGTGGAGTAATAGTAGCATAGGCGTGGCAACCATTATATGTGAAGGGGACGTGCCCCCCCACACACACACACATTAAAAAACATTTATTTGGACCCCCACTTAAAACATTAGTTCAGTCGGCGCTGTTTCTCTTTCGTTGTGAACGAATCCATTCCACTTGATCAATAGGAGAATACTCAAACCACTAAAAATCCACTCCAGGTTTTCCTGGTTACCTCCTCCATCTCTCCAGCTTCCAACAGCCTGCAGTGTTTCTGTTCTGCCTCTCCTCCTGCCTCGGCACAGATTGCTCACAGGCGGAAGATGGGAAGACACCTCTGTGTTGCTCGCTCACCAGTTTAACAAGCTTAGTGCGGGCAGTTGTTGACTGGGTATGGGGTTCCATTAGTGCCAAAAATATGTTTATGTTTAGCATGCTGTGTATATGTAAGGTGATATGTTAACTGATATGTTAACTGATATGTTTATGTAAGGTGATATGTTGTGATCATAAGGTGATATGTTAAGTGATATGTTACTTAACATATGTGTTTAACATATAACTTAACATATCACTCACCTTGCATATGTACCTAACATATCACTGAACATGTCACTTAACATATCACCTTACATATACACCGCACACTACATACACATTTAACATAGACACATAAACATATTTTTGCCACTAATGGAACCTCATAGATCATAAATATATATACATGTTAGGATGCTTTGAGAGAAGTGGAGCACTACGTCTGTAGCATCTTAGCAGTAACTGTGACGCTGTCAGAGCTGCAGGTGTAAGAGACTCTGTGTGTTCAGGTGCATTAAAGTTGAAATGTCTTTAAACCCCCCACACCTTATTGTCCTCAAGCTTCGTGAGAAACATCATTTAGATGAGTAGTGTTGAACACAAGTAAAAAATGTCTACTGGTGATGTTTTATATTTCTCTATAAACACAAATAGTGCCGATCTGAGGCGTTAAAGTGCATTAAAGTTAAAATGTCTTTAAAACCCACGACTGAATTTACACAAACTTGGTGAGGAACATGCTTTAAATGGAATTAAA